CAGCGACATAGCCATTACGCTAACTGCTGGTCCCAGCAGATTTTTTCTTTAAGAATTACTTTTATTTAACTTTATTATTATTGTTGTTATTATTTTCCAGTTTGATCAGAGAGAGAAAGAGGAGGAGAGTAAGAAGGCAAGCCACCAGATCCAGGACTCAAACTGTGGTCGGCCATGTGGGAGTCCAGTGCCTTTAACCACCATGCTACCTGGCAGCCCCTAAGGCAGCAGATTTTGAGGGGAGTCCCAGGAGTCTGGGAGAGGACCTTGCAGAAGGACTTTGGTGACAAGAGCACAGGTGGCACTTCTGAGGGACATGGCTTCCCACATGCGGGGAAGTGCATGAAGGATCTAGAGGAGGGCCGGGCAGGGGCTCAGGGTGGCTGGACTGGGTATAAGGTCGAGCAGTGGGGTGCTGGGGCATGGAAAGTGAGCTTGAAACGGTAGAGTGGAGACAGAACCGTGTCTCCCCAAAATTCGTCTACTAAAGTCCTAACCCCAGCCACCAGAACGAACCGCATCAGCAGAAGGGCCTTTGGGGTGACTGAGGTTACAAGGTCAGATAGGTAGGCCTGATCTTTGTAAAGTCCCCCCTCCCCAGCTTTTTTGCTGTAAGGCACGTATGCTCACCAGAGACAGAGACAGAAAGAGAAAGAGAGAGAAATAACCCCCTCGGGGCAATGGCCATGCACAATTCCTTCTCCTCTAGTCTCCTCTTGGGCTTTGGGCATGCACGGATAGGTGTCTGGCATGACCTTCAAGTCACCAGGTCTGGTACTCAAATCATGGAGTTGTCATGGAGGAGCCAGCACCTTAACCCTCCTGCAGCCTGCTGGCCTGGATTTCAAGGTTTATTTTAGGTCCAGCCCATGGCCTACTGGTTAAGGGAGCTGAATACAAGGCCAGTTATGGTTCAAGTCACAAAAACATGCAGAGAATGTCTATGTGTGCCCAAAATCTTGACAGCGTGGAAAAATGGAGGGGAAGGGATTGTGGCGTGACCCCTCCCATTTTGGGGTGCTTTCTCTCTTTCTCTCTAATAAGTGTGCATGGCTTCTGACAATTAAAAAATTTTTAATATATGGGACCACCGGTTGGCAAAATGGCTATGTCACTGGACTCCCATGTAGTCGACTGCAGTTCGAGTCCCAGACCCGATGGCTTAAACTCACACTGGGTGTGTGTGCATATGTGCCCAAGATCCCGAGGAGAATGGAGGCGAAGGGACTGTGGCGTGGCCATCCCCCCTGGGGTGTGATTTCTGGCTTTCTATCTCTCTGTCTCTCTCTGTCTGTCTGGTGAGTGCACGCGCCTTATAGCAAAAACCTCTCAAAAAAAAAAATCACACATACACTGCAGCAGTGCCCAGGTAATCAAGCTCCACATCAACAGAGGTAAGTCACCTGATCGTGTACACGACATGAGGAAAATGGCCCTACTGCCGTGGTCTCCCTCCAAAAAAGCTCGTGGCCTCAGTCTCGTCCGAGAAAACATTATGCCGCTCTCGGCCGAGGAACAGTGTACGAAATACCTGAACAGAACTCCTGAAAACCGTCAGTTCTCAAAGCCATAAGGAACAAGGAAAGTGAGAAACTGCCACAGCCAAGGGGAGCTTGAGGAGACATGGCAACTCTGTGACATTGGGGGGACCAAGGCGATGTGAGTGAGGCACGGAGCAAGAACACGAACGTGCGGGGACAGGCCCGTGGGACAGCCGGCCGTGGACGTGAGGTAGGGAGGGTGCACGCGGGGATCCACGTAGCTCTCCCAGTGTTTCAGTAAGCCTGTAACTGTTGTACAAAGAAGCTCGTGTTTACACAAACAATACTGGGCTGGCTCCGTGGAGCAGGGGAAATGTGCTGCTCAAGAGAACCCAGTCTGGGGACCAGCAGTTGGCGTAATGGCTATGTCGCTGGACTCCCATGTGATCGACCGCGGTTCGAGTCCCGGGCCCAGTGGTCACGCCAGGTATGTGTGCATACGTGGCCAAGATCCTGAGAGAAGAATGGAGGAAAAGGGATTGTGGTGTGGTCAACCCTCCCGGGGGGGTGATTTCTCACTTTCTGTCTCTGTGGCTCTTCACCCTGCTGGTGAGCACACACACCCTAAAACAAAAATCTCTCAAAAAAAAAAAAAAAAAGCCAGTCGCACACGGCCAGTTCAACACACCAGGCACGTATGTGAAACACACCAGGCACATATGTGAAGGCCAAGACCTGATGTGTACACACATGTACTCGCTTATGAATAGACAAAAATGAGAGATTAGTGAAAAGTCTCACGGTGAGTCCAGCCTGACCTCCCCAGCTGCCTCTCCTTCCTCAGTCCTCACTGATGTGCTCCACGGGTCTGCTCGGAGCTGCTTTATAAGGTATAGTTACACACTGATTTCTCTCCAAAGAGCCTGTTTCTTTGCTTTAAAGAATATCTCAAATCTCAGGACCAGCAGATGTCATAATGGTTACATAGCTGGGCTCCTACGTCGTTGACTGCAGTTTGAGTCCCAGACCCGGTGGCTTGAAACACAAGTCACGTGTGCGCACATGCCCAAGATCCTGGGAGAATGGGGAAAGGACTGCGGTGTGGCCATTCCCCTAGTCTCTCTGCCTCAATGGTGAGTGCCGTTGCCTTATAGCAAAAAAACTCTCCTCCCCAAAAGAATAGTCAATCCTTTTTAATATAAAATTATTAAATTTTCACAGTAGAAAGCACAACATTTTCCCTATATACCCATCACCCAGATTCAAGAATTTCCCACGCTTCAGCTGTTCCTGTCTCGCTCACTTTCCTTTGGCCCAGTTCCTTTTAAGCAAATGTCAGACCCCTCCATATGGCAAGGTGCATCTCTGAACGACGTGGACATCTTTTTACATAACCTAATGTTCACATCCCACCTTTTTTTTTTTTTTTCATCTAAGGTTTGTGCAATTGAAGGAGTGAAAGTGAGAAAACACCTCCTGGGGGATCACCACTTCAGAATCCCTTCTGCATTCTCCTTTCAAGATCTTGGGCAGGCAGGCACAGGTCCCCATGGGGCCCAGGACTTGAATCACATGCAGTGGGCCACGTGGGATCCACGTGGGATCTTAACCACCAGGAATGGCTGGGCCCACATCCCACTATTAATCAGGACTCCTGACTGACCTCTTAGGAACTCCCATGGAGCTAGGGCTCTACCACCTAGGCTGTGACCCCCACCCCCAGGAAGGCGCTGTTATCCGACAATGCCATTAACAGACCAGCACGCAGAGGCACAGAGCAGAGGCAGTGCTAACCAAAGTGTAACGGGAAAGCCCACGCTCTCAGATAGCAGCCCTGCCTCTGCTCCCACTTTGCAGCAGCCTGGAGCCTCTAAGGACCAGGCTACAGACCTGCCCTGACCACCACCGCTGCCCTTTCCAGGGATCTGGGCCTTGGTTCAAGCCTTCGGGATTCAGAGCCACTCACAGCCTTCATTTATGAATACTCGTCCACCAGAGAGGAGCAGCTGTCATTCCCACCCAGTCAGGGTCCAAGCAACAGCACTGGCGGGCACCTGTCCACTCGGTCCCAACCGAGGGTCTGTTGGGGCCCTAGTTCTGTCATTCAGGCCTCAGGGAGAGATGCCACGGCGACAGGGCTGTAAGAGGCCAGGACACTAGGGGACCGGCCCTGCCCAGGGACGTTAGACCTACAGTGCAAGGAAGCGGAAACAGGTGGGCCCAGGCTTCCCGGAGGGCGAGTTCACGCAGGGCGGCGCCAGGCCGGCTCGGCTGGACAGAGCAGGGCGCCCTGGAGCCGCGGAAGAC